TTTTGAGATGGAGTCTTGCTCTGTCACCCAGGCTGGACCAAAGTGGTGCAATCTCGGCTCAGTGCAACCTCTGCCTCCCAGATTCAAACGATTTTCTTGCCTCAGCCTCCTGAGTAGCTGGGACTAGAGGCACGCACCACCACAACCAGCCAATTTCTGCATTTTTAGTAGAGATGGGGTTTCACCATGTTGGCCAGGCTGGTCTTGAACTCCTGACCTCAAGTGATCCACCAGCCTTGGCCTCCCAAAGTGCTGGGATTATAGACATGAGCCACTGTGCCTGGCCTTTAAACATAGTTTTAATGTCAATACATCTTAATTACTTGAAGTTTTAAAACATTTTAAGCCTTTAGGGTGAAAACCATTAATTAATTTGCTCTAGAAATAAACACAAAAAATTATTGGTAATTTGAATACATGTATGTAATACATACCAAAATAACTTGTTAATAGCTATATGCAACTATGTTACATACTTTGATCACTAATGGCATTTAAAAATGATCTACCTAAATCTGAGGATCTGTTTGTTATAAACTAGTAGTACTAAAAGATACTATCCTATTTTTATGTGTGGGTGTTTTTCTCGATTGATTGATCCTGATAAATTAAACAGTATCCTCAAGTATGGACTTTAACTCCTCCAGTTAATGCATCATATGTTTACTGGCTAATATTAAATTGAACATTTTTCTCCTTATGTCAGTAGCTCCATATGCACATTGGTTGCCACATATATACATCTGAATTTGAAAAGTTCTTCTGAGATTACCTAAAAGTAACACCACAGACTCCTTCCATTGTAAATATTTTATTTTATTTTTTTTTAGAGACAAGGTCTAATTTTTGCCCAAGCTGGAGTACATTGATGCAATCATAGTTCACTGCAGCCTCAAATTCCTAGTCTCAAGAGATCTTCCTTAGGCTGGACGCTGTGGCTCACACCTGTAATCACAACACTTTGTGAGGTCGAGGCAGGAGGATCACTTGAGGCCAAGAGTTCAGGACCAGCCTGGGCAATATAGTAAGAACCCATCTTTACAATTTTTTTTTTTTTTTTTTTAATGCAGGCATGTTCGTATACACCACTAGTCCCAGGTACATGGGAAGCTGAGGCGGGAGGGTTGCTTGAACTCAGTAGGTCAAGGCTGCAGTGAGTAGTGATTGTGCTATTGCACTCCTATCTGGGGGACAGAATAAGACCCTGTCTCAACAACAAAAAAGGATCTCACTTCAGTCTTTCTAATAGGACTACAGGCCACTATGCCCAGCTACTTAAAAAAATAATTTTTTATAGAGATGGGGTCCGCTATATTTCCTAGGCTAGTCCCAAACTCATAGCTTCAAGCAATCGTCCTGCCTTGGCCTCCCAAAATGTTGGGATTACAGGCATAAGCCACCATGCCCTGCCCATTGTAAATATTTTAATTTTGCCTGATCAGTCATAAAAAGTTTAACACTTTCAATATATTTCTCGATTTTTAAAAATACTACATCTTTGAAATCTGAAGGAATTGTTGGATTTTACCCCTTTATTGCAAGGTTTTTTATCTAGGTGTCTGTGGGAAAACCCCTGAATAGTGAGTGAAACTCTGGATATGTATTTTTTTTTTTCTTTTTCTGAACAGAGTAAAATCTTGGGAGAGCCATGATCCAAAAATCATGGTTTTGAAAGTGGACTGTACTATGAGTAATAATCACAAATCTGAGGTAGTAGTTGTGAAAGTATTTAAAGCATCCTGAAAATAATGTTGAAAAAAAATCTATGATGAAAACCATAAAATCTCTGCATCTGTAGTACTGTATTGAACTTGAAACTTTGAAGGAATTAGAGTAGATAAGACATTACTGGTAGAAGAGAAAACGTAAGGATGAATTATATCCTACAAAAGACATATCTTAGTCATTTAACCTTTTTTTCTGTGAGTGACTTTTATTTTGCCTTATTAATAGAAACCCGAGGAAGTATGTTGCTTTGTATTAAATGGTTGAGACCATTATTTGATATAAAAGCTGAAAATTTTGTTTTTGTATTTTGGAGAATCCTGTGTTTTCCAAGTAATTGAAAGAGTGACTAAAGCTATATAACCCTGCTAAAATTAAAGAAACAACTTGTTGGAAACATTCCATGCAGATTTCCAAAATATATTTTACCTTATTATTAGAGAAAGAAAATAAACTTTTAAAATAATCTGATAACTATCATTCATATATTTAATACAAAGCATATTAGTTAGAGAAGGGAAGATGATACTGTACATTGTAACTGCTGAGACTTTTTTTTAACTAATATCTTTGGTAGATAAAAAGGCACAATTATTTTCTCTTTGAGAGGATTTTAAATACCTATCACAGGCCAGGCGCAGTGGCTCATGCCTATAATCCCAGCATTTTGGGAGGCTGAGGTGGGCGGATCACTTGAGGGTCAGGAGTTTGAGACCAGCCTGGCCAACCTGGTGAAACCCTTGTTCCTACCAAAAGTACAAAAATTAGCTGGGCATGATGGCGCATGCCTGTAATCCCAGCTACTAGGGAGGCTGAGGCATGAGAATTGCTTGAGCCTGGGAGGTGGAGGCTGCATTGAGCTGAGATTGCGCCACTGTACTCTAGCCTGGGCGACAGAGCAAGACTCCATCTCAAAACAAAAACAAAAATAAAAACAAAACACCTACTGCAGACTATGTTCTATTATTTTATTATTATTATTATTATTATTATTATTATTATTATTATTTGAGATAGAGTCTGGCTCTGTTGCCCAGGGGCTGGAGTGCAATGGTGCAATCTTGGCTCAATCTCCACCTCCCGGGTTCAAGCGATTCTCCTGTCTCAGCCTCCCAAGTAGCTGGGACTACAGATGTGCACCACCACACTGGCTTATTTTTGTATTTTTGGTAGAGATGGGGTTTCACCATGTTGGCCAGGCTGATTTCAAATTCCTGACTTCAGGTGATCCTCTCGCCTCCGCCTCCCAAAGTGCTGGGATTACCGTTTGTGAGCCACAATGCTGGCTCTTTTTTACTTTAGATTTTATCTGCCTGATTTGACAATGCCAAATATTTTATGTAATCATTATTGGTTTGAGACTGAGAGCCCTTTCATTTTCCACCAATCAAACCACTAGTAGAGTCTTCATATTACTCCCCCAATTTGTTAGCTAGGTAGAATCGGCATGGATAGCTCATTTTCTTTCCTGGAATTCTGCTTTTGAGGAGGCAGGTCTTATAGCAGGGCAGACTAATTAATGTACTGAACTCATTCCCTCCCACTTAAGTGAATAAAAACTTTTTTTTGACTATGGGTTATAAAGACTGTCTTCAAGGAGCCTTGTTTATTTCGGGGAAGGGAAATGGATCTTTTGTAGGAGAAAAAGACTTTATATAGTGAATGAAAATTCTATGGGCTGGTTGCAGTGGCTCATGCCTATAATCTCAGCACTTTGGGATGCCAAGGTAGGAGGATTGCTTGAGCTCAGGAGTTCAAGACCAGCCTGGGCAATAT